TAGCAGTTGGCGGTTGGGAGCGATTATTAATAAGTTGAAAACAATGCGGTAACAGCTGCTGTGCAACGTCGCTATTAATGCTAAAAACAATATTAATAATGCTAGCATTATACAATATCATTTTGTTATTTATTATTAATAGAAAATATTAAATATTAAATAATATTAAAAATTATCATTATGATCACATGGATACCTAGGGAGGAAATGCCCTGGGTGGGGTTGCGGTGCCAGACCACGACGATTCCATCCCCCATTTCCACCCCCCCCCCACACACACACACACTAACACACACACACCCGCCTACCGGGCCCCGCTGTACGGTAAACAGCTCCACACCGCCTCCAACACCACCGGCAGCACCCAGCAACACAACACCCCCTCCACCCCCCCCCGCCATCACGGGGCGGGGGTAGACGGCGAATGTGGTGACGGCGGAGGGGAGGGTGTGAAGCAGCCCGGTTAGCTGGGGGATGGGAACCAGCGGCCGCTGAAGGGGAGTTGGGGGGGGGGAGAGGGGGAAAACACAGTTGATGGAACAACGCACGTGTCTATGTGGGAGGGGCATGAAACACATGCTCGCGTCAAAGAGAGGATCGCCCGCGTGGAAGGGCGGGCGGCGGCTGTCACGGTTGGAAGTTGGACGACAGGGACTGTACGACATGCCCCTAACGCGTACATCCAACTGCCGTTCCAACCTACCTCCAAGCTCCTAAGCAAACCCCACCCCACCCCTGACTGGAAAGGCCCTCCCCCTTCCCCCTCAAGAACACATGTCGCCGCCTCTTCCCGCGCACTAAGCCCCCTCCCCCTCCCCCTCCCCCTTCACATACATATATACGCAAAATACACACAGGTGCACACGGGTACACACACTCCGCGCCAGAAACCAGCCAGCACACACGCACACACACACACACACACTCTCTCTCTACGCGCACACGCACACACATCCAATCCCCCAGTCCAAGAGCCCCTCAGAGCTCCTCAGCCCCCAGCTCACCCCCCAGGGTGCGGACTTACATGCGCTGCAAGGTGCCTCCATGCCCCTGCCGGTGGTGATGATGGTAGTGGTGATGGTGGTGGTGGTGAGGAGGAGGTGGACGAATGGTGGTTGGGATCGGGGGGGTGCCGCGGGTGAGGGGAGGGTTGGGAGGACGAGCCGTACTGATGATGATGATGTTCACCAGCCGCCAACCGCCCGCCCAGTTCCGTTGCCGTACCCGCCGCCGAGCCGTTACGGTTGTGGGCGGTCTGCTCCAACCCAGTCGAGGTGGAGGAGGTAGAGGGGGTGGAACCTGCACTCCGGGTCAAACCCCCAAATTTTGGGGGGG